CAGCATAGAGCTGGGAAAATGAACAGCAGACCCCAACCTTATCTAAAGGAATATTGACAACTGATTGCTGCTAGATGAGGAACACCTGACCTTCCTAAAACAAAGACCTCTAGATAGGCTGACTAGATTCACTAGATGGACAAGTAGTGGGGAACAGCTGGGGGTGCCGACAACACAGCAGACAGTACCAGGGTTAACGGTGTATAAGGGCTCTAGTGAGGGGAGGGAGGCTATGGGAGGGTACCATCTGGGAAGTGGGTGTATAGTTGAATAAGATGGCTTGGGATGTTTTGTGTGATACACAACACACACACAAATCAACAAATTAAAAAAATGTATATTTGAGGAGAAAGCATAAAAGTTTATGACATGTTAATTAGTAGAGGTGATGAACATTAACGCTGAAATCTACCCAATGACTTTATAGATATACACAGGTGCCAAGGATCCGAGTGCAAACGATTATGACTAGTAATAATCAGATACATACAGATTAAAGACTTACGCGCCAACATCTCAGTGTTAGTAGCAAAAAAATGAGTCTTTCTGTAAGAAACAGCATATTTTAGAATGAAATGGAGATCTCTTTTGAAGGTTAAAAACTCATTCAATTATATGTCTTACAGGGCTTATACTGAGTTCAATATTGTACAACTAACTGTATTGATTCTACAGCGAACCTAGAAATTTTATAGCCACTTTTGAAGGAGCTGTGTCTTTGCTCTGGAAACTGTTATTGGACATATTAAAGCTGTAATGATATGCTTCTTCAAAAAAAATATTAAAAATTGTAGGAAACAGCATATCTTGAAATGGAAATCTTCTTTAAAGGTTAAAAACTCATTCAATTTTATGTCTTACAGGGTTTATACGGAGTTCAATATTGTATAACTGTATTAATTCAACTGTGAACCTAAAAATTTACAGCCACTTTTGAAAGATGTATCCTTGCTCTGGAGTGTGTTACTGAATATGTTAAAGCTGTAATTGAAATGCTTCTTCTAATCATGTGGTTATTAAATTTTTTTAAACATTAAAAAAATTCTTCAAAGCATTAAAAATTTGCTCCTTATTAGTAGATGTGAAAAACATTACCATTGAAATCTACCTGATGACTTTATATAGATGCTCAGATGCCGAGGAGCTCAGAAAGTAACCGACTGTGACTAGTAATAATCAGATACATAGCCATTAGAAACGCATGTGCAAACATCTTAGTGTCAATGGCATTAAAAAGGAATTTTTCTATATGAAACTGTGTATTTTAATAATGAAATGGAGATCTTTTTTAAAGGTTAAAACCTCATTTAATTTTATGTCTTAAAGGGTTTTTACTGAGTACAGTATTTGTATAACTGTATTAATTTAACTGTAAACCTAAAAATTTACAGCCAATCTTGAAAGAGATACATCTTAGCTCTGGAAATTTTTATTGACTATGTCAATGCCGTTGTCATGAAATGCTTCTTCTAATTATATAGTTATTAAATAAATAATTAAAAAAAAAAAAAAAGAAAGAAAGCAGGTTGAGTGGGGGCCAGGAGAGCAAGCCAGGAAATAGTGATTATCCACGGCTGGTGCTCCAGCCCTGCCTCCAGGTTCCTACCCTGAGTTCCTACCTTGGGCCCTCTGATGAACTTGTGACCAGGAGATGTAAGATAAATAAAGCCCCCCCCCCAAAAAAAACAAAAAACAGACAAAAAAACCTGGAGTAAGATTATAGATGTAATAAGATGAAGTAAGGGAATTTATATATTTTTAGGAATTTTATTTCTTTTGAAAGAGAAAAAAAATGAAATATCTATGAAAGGAATTACCATAAGTGTGATAATAAATTAGAGAAAAGATTATACTCTAGTATCCAATTGTCTAGGACTCTTTCACAGAAATGATGATTTATCTTTATTTTATTAAAAACAATTTTGGTGGTCCTAGAGGTTGACCCTAGAGCCATGTGCATGCTAGGCAGCTGTGGTACCATAGGGCTGCATTCCCAGGACATAACTTATTCTTAGAGCTCAGTAGCAGTTATTTTCTTTTGGGGTTTTTCTTTTAGTGTATTGCTTTGCCAATTCCTTGGGGAATATCATATCACATGTGTTAATTCAAAAAGGAGATACCAGAAGACGTAATACTTCAGATATCCATTCTACCTGGATTCAAGAAGACAAGAAATTGAGTAAAGAGATCGAAATTATAATGAAATTTTGTGGAGTGAGAAACATGTAGCCACAGTATTAGAGATCTAGGTCAGATTACATAGGAAAATTATTTTTACTAATTAAAATGTCTGTTAATGATTTTTTAAATTTTATTTATTATTTTTATGTATATGCATGTATTGCCTGCATGTAGGTAAGTGCACCCGTGACATGCAATGCCTGTGGAGGTCAGAAGAGGCTGTTGGATCCCCTGGAACTGGAGTTATGGACAGTTGTTAGGTGCCATGTGGGTGCTAGGATTCAAACCCGGGTCTTCTCCAAGAACAGCCAGTGTTCCTAACCACTGAGCCATTTCTCCAGCCCGTTAATGATTTTTAGAAAATTCTTTTTCATAAAAATCAATGGTTTTTAGTGACTAGTCCATACCTGTTTTTCAAGTTTAGTCTGAATATCTTCTAGCTCTCCGTTTCTAATCGTCTCTTGCTGTAACATTTGCTGCTGTTGCTGAAGAGTGTGCTGTAGAATAGCATTTTGCTCACAAGTCTCTTGAAGACTATGATTCTTTATCTTTAGCTCTTTCTGCAAACAATATACCTAGCGGAGATATATGTATTTCTCATTACAATGGAATGTTTCAAATAAAAAATAAATGTAAAAACTGCCTTCCTTAATTAATTCTACTTTTCACGTAGGTCAACAGTATTGTTGGACACAGTTTGTCCCGTAGGAGGGCAGGGTTCATTATTCTGATGGGGAGATGAATTAGACACGCTTATAGGGTTGGCTCTTGGTTGGCACCTTGGGTATCTTGGTTGGTTTTTGAAATGTTTCTATGTAATGAGATTTTTTTGGCTGGTTAGGCCGCGGAAACATGTTTCCTTCCTGGAAAACTGCAATTTTCGTAATTCTGGATTGATCACTGTTCTTAAGTGGCAAGTCCCTAATAACAACCTTGAACTTTGAATTCATAGACAGGCTTCCTCTAGGTAGAAAGACGACATGCCACATTTTACTGTTACAAGAATGCTCTGCGCATCCCCTGCCAGAAGGCGGGAAAAGGACAGTACCCATGGATTACTCTACACGTCATTTGATGATCTTTACCCCTCACAGATAGTAAACTAAAGCCATGAAATCACTGCATGATAAATATTAGGTGATATTTATCATATTATTATTATTATTGCAGTTTATAAAATAATAGTATAGTGAAGTAATCCCGAATATTTATGCTCTGAAACATATAAAGGATACTATCAACTAAGAAATGTCACTGATTCACCTTAAATATTTAGGCTTAAATATGCTGGTCTCCAAAATTGCCTTAAAAGATATTTTTAAAGGTCTTAAAAAAAACTGTGTACATGTGTGTGTGTGTGTGTATGTGTGTGTGTGTACACGTGTGGACATAAGAGAACTTGAGGAGTTAGCTGTCTCCTACCATGTGGGTTCTGGGAATTCAACTCAGGTGATCAGACTTGGGGCAGGTATATTTTTATTTTATGTGTATGCATGTACTGTCTGCATGTAGGTGAGTGCACCTGTGTCATGCAATGCCACGGAGGTCAGAAGAGCCTGTCAGATCCCCTGGAACTGGAGTTATGGACAGTTGTTAGCTGCCATGTGGGTGCTGGGATTTGAACCCAGGTCTTTTGCAAGAACAACCAGTGTTCTTAACCACTGAGCCATCTCTCCAGCCCAAGAAAGGTCTTTAATCTAGCAACTGACAAATTTATTTCAGTAAAGTTTAGTTGCTAAACCTGAATCCTTTATTTTTTTTAATAGGGTCTCACTATGTAGTAAAGGCTGGCTTAAACCGAAGTAGCCCAGGCTCTCCTAAAATTCATGATCCTCCTGGGCCAGCCATTCAAGTGTGGGATAACAAGCACGCCACAACATGTCCAGCTTCTAAACTGGATTTAACCCTTAAACAACTAGAAGAAACAAAAACAAAATGAGTAAAAGTTTTGAAGAATTTTATACTTCTAAGTCTAAAACTGAGTTTTAAGTATTATTCATTTTATATTAAAATCAATCAATAATTGTAATTTATTATTCTTACTCTCTAAAAATAAATGAATTAGAATTTTAAGGTGTTATATTTTATGTTGTGAGGAAATAAAGGCTGTTCTTTAAAGAATATAAAATTTGGAATTTGCATTTTAATATCAGCAATATAAACATGCACCTTTAAAGTATATAGAGTTGAGGATGTAGCTCAGTTAGTAAAATGCCTGACTAGCATGCCTGAAGCTGTGGGTTCCATCCCTAGCACCCACGGTATGGTTGTACATACCTGTAATCCCATACTTGAGAGGCAGAGGCAGGAGGATCAGAAGTTCTAGGTCATCCTCAGCTATCCTAGCAAGTTAGAGACAAGCCTGGGATACACTAGACCAGCTCTGTGCTGGATCGCCAGTTGTCGACTTGACACCCCTGGGAAGAGGGAACCTTAATTGGAGAATTTCCTTTATTGGATTGGCCTGTGGGCATGACTGTAAGGCATTTCCTTGCTTGCTGAATGAAGTGGGAGGGCCCAGCCCACTGTGGGTCATGCCCAGTAGTCCTGGATTCTATAAGAAAACAGGCTGAGCACAGGCCCAAGGAGCAAGCCAGTTCCTCTGTGGTCTCTGCTTTTCCTACCTCCAGATTCCTTCCCTGCTTAAGTTCCTGCCTTAGCTTCCCTCAGTGAGGGACTATCATGTGGAAGAGTAAGATGCAATAAACCCTTTCTGCTCCAAGTTGCTTTTTGGTTAGTGTTTTGTCACAATAGAGAAACAACTAGAATAGACCCTGTCTTTAGAAACCAAAACCAAAGTATATTGGAAATACTATCTCAAAATAAATCAGTTGAAAATTTTGCTACATAAAGGAAATGTTAATTTACCTCTTCCAATTTCTTCTTCAGCTGTTTTTCAAATTTTTCCTTACTTCCCTCCAGCTGATTCAAATGCAAAGCAAGTTCTTCTTTACAAATGTCTAATGCTGAATCCAGTTGTCTGACCTAAACATGAAAAAAGCAAAACACAGTATCAAAAAGAAAATCAATTAATATTAATTAATGATTACTATCTGCACAATATTTTACAGATTTATCTCCTAATGTTACCTTATGGCTTCAAACATTAAAGCAGGGCCAGCAAGATGGTTAAGCAAGTACGCCCGGCAACTTGAGTTTGAGCCCCAGAACCCACGGTGGAAGGACAGAACTGACTCAGGAAAAGTTGTCCTCTGACCTCCAAATGCATGAGGTGGCACGTACACAACCACCCTTGCCAATAACTATTTTTTCAATTAAAAACCACTAAAACAGTTCTACATAGGATATAAAATGCTATAACACAAAAGGCTCATTGGAAAAACACACTTTTTTCATGGTAAATCAGGGCTCCGAGCAGAAACCAGAGTCCCAAACAAAACAGGAGTTATGCAGAAGTGCACTCTAAGAAGGGGTACTTTGATAGGCAAGGCACTAAAAAAGGCAATGGTGAGAAACAAACAGAAGATATGCAGAAGGCACTCTCAGAGGCTTTAGAAGAGGACGTTGGATACCTTGGAGCTCAAATTACAAGTAGTTGTGAGCCACCCAACACATGATGTGTGTTGGGAACCAAATCCAGTCCTCTGAAAGAACAGCAAGTGCTCTCAACTGCTGGGCCATCCCCCCAGTCTCCACAGATAAATTTTTTTTTTGTTTTGGTCTTTTTTAAGACAGGGTCTCCCTGTAGCCCCACCTGGCCTGGAACTCACTATGTAGACCAGGCAAGCCTCGAACTCACAGTGATCCGCTTGCCTCTGCCTCCCAAGTGCTAAGATTAAAGGCGTGCGCCACCACACATGGCAGATAAATTTTTTTTTAAAGCTATGTTTCAGAAACTTTATTATGCAAGTGCCCATAGAGGCCTGGAGTCCCCTAGAGGCCCATAGAGTCCCCTGGAGCTGTGAGCTGCCCAGCATGGGTACTAGGGACCTGGGTTCTCTGCAAGAGCAGCACATACTGTTAACTGTGAGCCATCTCTAGTCCCTTACTTGACTTCTGTGTATACAATTCCTGTAATTTATAGGGAAGAAAGCTGTAAGGATGCCTCTAATAAGAAAACAAGGAGGCGATGAGATGGCTCAGCAGGTAAAGATGCTTGCCTTCAAACCCAAGGACCTGAGTTCTATCCCAAGTGCCACACGATGGTAAGAGAGGACTCTTGCATGTTGTTCTCTGGCCTCCACACTCATGCTGTGACATGTAGGCACATACATACACATAAAATAAGTAATGTAACTTAAAAAATTTTTTTAAGGAAAACAAAGTCAGAAGTAGTAGTGTGCACTTATAATTCCAGCAGCCAGTAGCTGGAAATATTTCCAGTAGCTGGAAATATTAAAAGTTCAAGGCCAGACTGAGCTACATTGTGAGTTCTAGACCACCCTGGGCTATACAGCAAGGACACCTGTCTCTAAAGAAGAAAGAAAGCAGGTGTGATGGTGTATGCTATTAATCCTAGCACTGAAAAGGCAGAGGCAGGCAGATCTTGGTGAGACTGAGGCCAGCCTGGTCTACATAGCAAGTCCAAGCTGGCTAGGGCTACAGGGAGACCTTGTCTCAACCAAAAAAATAAAAAGATAAAGAAAAAAAAGACAAGGTTGGTTAAGAGGTAGACTATACTAGCCTTGACTGTTTCTTCAGATACTTGGCTCTGCAATGCTTTCAAAGCTTCATCTTTCTTCATGTTTTCTTTTTCCATTTCCTAGAAGCATACTTGCATCAGTAACAGATTATTTAACAAGATTATATTAAACCTCTGTTACAGATATGTAAACTTAGAATATTAGCTTTTTTAAAAAAAAGAATATTAGCTTTTACATAACACTTTTAAAAAGATGACTTTTACCACTTTGTTTTCCGTCAAGAGTCTATCCAGTGATTCAAGGTGATGCTGTTTACATATTATATCTTGTTGCAACATGGACATAGTCTTTTCTTGTTCTTTAAATTGTTGGTCTTTTTTCTCTAGTTGAGTTTCAAGCTAAATATAAAAAGATATTCATATTACATTTTTAAAAGATTTGAAACACATTTTTTTTTTCGGTCTTTTTGAGACAGGATCTCCTTGTAGCCCCAGCTGGCCTTGAACTCACTATGTAGACCAGGCTGGCCTTGAACTCACAGAGATCTGCCTGCTTCTGCCTGCCTAGTGTTGGGATTAAAGGCATGCACCACCATGCCTGGTTGAAACACATAAATTTTTAAAATTATTTTTATTTTATGTGTATGAGTATATTGCCTGCATATATGCAAGTGCACCTGTGTTGTACAATGCCCAGAGAGATTTGAAGAGGGCACTGAATTCCCTGGAACTGGAGTTATAAGTCCATATGAGCAAGGTCTCAGGAGTCTGTAAAACTCTGTTTCCATATGGTCGTGTACCTCCTTCCCGGCTCTTACAATCTTTCTGCCAGCCTCTTCTGCAATGGTCCCTGAGCCCTGGGTAGGTAAGTCCTGTCTAAGGACCCACACTCTACAGGTCTTATTCTCTACATTTTGGCCAGTTGTGACCTTTTGTGTTCATGACCCTCTGTTGCATGAGGAAGCTTCACTGATGAGTTAAACGATTCATTAGTTCTTAACATGGGTCCTGAGGTTCAAATTCAGGTTCTCATGCTTGCCTGGCAAACACTTTACTAAATGAGCCATCTCCATAGCACCTATAGTTTCAGATTTTAACACACACACACACACACACACACACTCATGAAACCTCAAACACAGTCAAGGTAAAGAACAGCTCCTCAAGTGAGTTCTTTAACAGTCAGACTCTCTACCACCCCAGCCTTTGGCAGTCATTGAACTGTTCTCTAATACATAATTCAGACTTTTTGAGATAGTGTCACAGAAATGGAATTATACTATATGAAATATAGGAAATTGGCTTCTTTCACTTGCCATAGTATCTTGTAGCTTTACCCAAGGTTTCAGTACATCATTCTTATTACTGAGTTGCATTTCATTCTTTGGAAATGCTAAATTTCAGCTATGGATGTAGCTCAGCTGGTACAGTGCTTGTCTAGCATCTATGAGGCCGTGGGTTTGATCCCTAGTACCGAACAAACCAGATGGTTGTACACATCTGTAGTCCCAGTACTACAAGGTGGAGGCAAAGGATTAGAAAGTCAAAGTCATCCTTGGCTACATAGAAAGTATAAGGCTAGCCTGGATTACATAAGATCCTGCTTCAAAACAAAACAAAACAAAACAAAAAACCAAGCCCTAGAATCAGTTTATTTATTTACATAAGGAAGTTACAGGGTCGTGTCCAGTTTTAAACAATCACAAGTAGTGCTACTATAAACACAATGTGTAGGCTTTAGTGTACGCATAAGTTTCATTACTCTAGGACTATAGGCAAATATGTGAAGTGTTTTTAGCTTTGTTAGAAAAATGTCAAGTTGTTTTCCAAAGTAGAACCATTCTGCATTCTTACCAACAAACAGGGATTCTGCTATTTTGCATTCTTGCCAGTATTTGCTACTACAGTCTTACCTCTCCCTACCCTCACATGCCAATAGGAACATAATGGTATTTCATTGCCTTCACCTCATTTCTACACTCGAGATAATAGCCTTTTCTATCAAATGAGTTTTGAAGTGGTTCTTTTTCTTTTGGCAAATTATATAATACTGGTGTTATTTCTTCCTCAAGTGTTAGGAAGAATTTATCACTGAATCCACATAGACCTGACATTTCTTTTGGAAAAATGTAAAAGAAGAGTCCAATTCTTTAATGCATGAATAAACATTCAGGTTATCTATTCCTGCATCAGGTTTTCATTACTTTGTGTTTTGTATCTGTAGAGCGTGTATGATATACTTTTATCCCTAATTTCTTTTTTAGACTCTTGTTCAAAGTGATTATCAGTTGATAAACTTTGGATCATTTTAGGGGCTGGAGAGATGACTCAGTGGTTAAGAACACTGGTTGTTCTTGCAGAAGACCCAGGTTCGAATCCCAGCACCCACATGGCAGCCAACAACTGTCCGTAAGTCCAATCCCAGGGGATCCGACAGCCTCTTCTGACCTCCGTGGGCATTGCACGACACGGGTGTACTTACCTACATGCAGGTAGTACACTCCTACACATAAAATAAAATAAAATTTTTTAAAAAATTAAAAAAGACTTTGGATCATTTCAAATATTTTGATATATTCTTTTCATTACATTTACTTGATTTTTGTGTACACAAGTGCATAGATGTGTGTGGAGGTCAAGGGGAGGTTAGAGGTCAGCTCTCTCCTTCTACCACATGGGTCCTGGTGATCTAGCTCTGTGCAGGCTTGGCAGCAGGTACCTGTACTTGCTGAGCCATTTCGTCAGCCCTGATGTATTCTTTTTAATTATGTTTCTTATTAGTAGTTTTTGGTTTTGTCTTGTTTTTGGTTAATTTTACTCTTCCTTGTTTAATAAACTGGAAGTTTAGATGATGGATTCTTTTCTCTCCTTTTTGGAAACAAAAGCATTCAATGCTGTATGTATCTCTTCTGGTTTCTGTTGTGGTATTTGGGGATTTCTCAGGCTCCTTTCCTTTTTTAAAAAAGATTTATTTTATTTTTATTCACATTTATGTATGTGTGCAGGTGCCTACAGAGGCCAGAAGAGGGTGTCTGATCCTCTGAAACTGGAGTTACAGGCAGTCACAGCAATAAGGTGGTGGGTGCTAGGGACTGAACTCCAGTCCTCTAAAAGAGCAGCAGGCACTTTTAACTCCTGAGCTATCTTTCCGGCCCCCAGGAATCTTTCAATTACTGTTCTAGCAAGGATTCTGATGTAACACAAAGTGATTTTCTTTAACTTTATTCTTTTGAATTTGCAAATTTCCTTCAGCAGATTTGCTTTTTTTCAGTCATTATTCCATCAAGTGTTTTTCTGTAGAAATGTCATTCTCTTCTCCTTTGGAGGACATGCATATCAAACCACTTAATGCCTCACAGGAGCTTCAGGCTCTACTCAATCTTTTCAAACACTTTCTTCTTTCGTATGTTCATACTAAATGTCTATTGCTCTACATTCAAGTTCACAGGCTCTTCCTGTCACCTCCACTCTATTAAGCAAGGAAATTATGTATTTTAAATTTTGTTTTACATTTAGTGTCATACCTTCTTTTCTAATTTTTGTTTTAATTATTAATTAATTAACTGGATTGAACCCAGTGCCTTGAATATGCTGAGAGTACAATACCACTGAACCATATCCTTAGCTCTATTTATTTTTGAGAGTCTCACTAATTTGCTCAGGCTGGCTTTGAACTTGCTAAGTAGCCGGGCAGACCTTGATTTGTAATTCTTCCTCAGTTTCCTGAGGATTTTCACTAGGTCCAACTTGTTTTTAGTTTTAACCTGATGTTAAGAGGGTTTGCACTCTTTTCTGGTTTCCTCTCAACTAATCTTTAGTCAAGGCATATCTACTGAAATACAGCATAGAGTCATTCTATGCTTTAATATCACAAAATAATAATTAGCTAGGGCACAGTGGCACATGAGTGTAACGGCAAAACTCCAGAGGTGAAGGCAGGAGGATCAGAAGTTCAAGGTCAACTTCTTGATTTCAATGTCAGCCTGGGGTACATGCAACCCTGTCTCAAAACAAAATAAAAAACAAAAACTATTAAAGATGAAATAGAAGGCATACTACTTTAAAAGGCACTGGAGGGAGGCAGAGAATGGTGGTATCCAGCACCCAGGAGGCAAAGGCAAATGGATCTCTGTGAGTTTGAGGTCAGCCTGGTCTACACAGCACGTTTCAGGCAGTCAGGGGTACATAGTGAGACCCTGTCAAAACAAACAAACAAACAAAGCACTGCAGGGCTAGGAGTGAGGTCACTAGTGTGTTGAATATCTGGTTAGCAAGCACAATACCCTGGGTTCTATTCCCAGAATCACAAAAAATAAACATTGGGAAATGATTCAGAAAGAGTGAGAATCTTATTGGTCTTGCCATTAATTTCCCACATCTTTGTTTTTTCATTAGCACTTAAATAATTCTTTTAAAAATATTTTATTTATTATTTTTATGTGTATGTGTGTATTGCCTGCATGTGTCGTGCAATGCCCGCAGAGGACAGAAGAGGCAGTCAGATCCCTGGAACTAGAGTTATGGACAGCTGTTAGCTGCCATGTGGGTGCTAGGATTCGAACCCAGGTCTTCTGCAAGAACAGCCAGTATTCTTAACTGCTGAGCCATCTCTCCAGCCCCAGCACTTAAATAATTTTGGGTTGGACTGCTTAAGGTTCCTTTCAGTACTAAAGTAAACATTACTTACTCGTTCAATCTGTTTTTCCATTTCTTTATGTTGTTCAAGGTGAATTTTCTTTGCTTTTTCAAAAGCAAAACAAATTTTCTCATGTTCTGTATTGATATTGGTTTCTAGACTTCTTATTTTTTCATTCTTCTCCTAGACACACAAATACGTTGAAAGAATATAACTAAAAGCCAGTTCTACACATTAATCTAGCAATAAATCTGCCATTTTCTGTTCTTTATATGAACTATGGTAGTTAATACTTAAACGAGAAGACTGATTTCCAGGTTAGATGGCGGACTAGACACTGTCTCTGTTACGACCCAGTGAAGAAGTGTCAGGATAAGTAGAAACAAACTATTCCAAGGAGGGAAAGAAAGGAAGAACTTTGGAACTTCACAAAAGGAGTAAGACGTCTGAAGAGAAGCAGAAGGTTGACACTAAAAAGTAGAAAGCCAAACAGAACGCAGCTCCAACAAGTGCATCTCTGTCATGGGGAGGAAGGGCTTCATCCAAACATTAAGCCAGGCAGCCCTAGTAAAAAGAGACGAAGGGTCCTACCAACAGGACAAATCCAGTTGTCACAAGCCTCAAATCTAGTTACTGGTCTTGCTAGGACAGTTACTTCTTGCGTAGGACAGATCAGGAGTTGACCAGTTCTCCTGGCTCAGAGGACTATGACTAGTAACCCAGCACAGAACTGGGAAAATGAACAGCAGACGCTAATCTTATCTAAAGGAGTATTGACAACTGATTGCTGCTAGAAGAGGAACATCTGACCCTTCTAAGACAAAGACCTCTAGATGGGCTGTCTAGATTCACCAGATGGACAAATAGGGGGGATTGGCTGGGGTGCCAACAACACAGTAGACCGTAGCAGGGATATCAGAGTATAAGGGCTCTAGTGGAGGGAGGGAGGCTATGGGAGGGTACCATCTGGGAAGTGGGTGTATAAGTGAATAAGATGGTTTGGGATTTTCTGTGATATACACACACAT